AGAAAAAAGGAACAGAGAGACAAAAGGAAGAAAAGAGAGAGAGAGAGAGAGAGAGAAAGAAAGAAAGAAAGAAAGAAAGAAAGAAAGAGAAAAAACACATGGCTGGCAAGCGACTCCCACCAGGTCACATGGCTGGCAAGCCACTCCCACAAAGGAGGCCACACCCACAGAGTAGGTTTCAAAAATTTTTGAAACCCACCACTGCTATGTGGTGGCGGATATGAGTACTCCGAATGTGTTCATTGTTGTACCTATTTCAGCACCGATACCTTTCTCTGCAGGCGCACACATGTGCGCACGGTCACACACACACACACACACACAAACAGTGTTTTAAAAAAAGAAAAGTAAAATTCTCCATAAGAAAAAGTCAATCAGGAGCACAACGATCACAAAATCCCTTTAGGGAAGCCTGAGCTACCATTCATCAAAAGATTACATATCGCATTCCTTCTCCTTTTTCTTCTTCTTTTTGTTTCATGTTATCACTCACAGAAATTTATAAATACACGTATGGAATGCAATTCTTTTGCAGTGATATTTGTCAGAGTGCGCTGAATAAAAGAAGCTTAGGGAACAAATCTGACAATGGGTTTCAGCATTCTTAAAGAAATTAGCTATTAAAACATATTATTTTACTGGATTAGCCTACATATACATTTCAGTTTTAAAATAAAAGAACCAAAAAACCAATAAGTCTGTCTCATGATTTTATAACTCAGAAAAAAGAACAGCTCAATTAAGCTTCCCCATTAGACCCTACTATCTCAAATCTTAATAGAACAAAACTAAGCATGATAAAGTGGGTTTCCCCCCCCCCTTCTTCTTCTTTCCTTTTACCACAATATATACTTATTAATAAAATAATCTGAGCTGCCGGGGTAAAAATACCACACTTGGAAATTGGCTCAACTGCTGATTAAAACGAATAATGGCAATGTTTCATGGCCTTTCTCAGTCAGGAAGAGAAACCTGATCAGGCACAGCTCTGAAAATATTTTAAGGATAATGTTCTCTGACAACAATTAACTCCTTCCGGGCTCTTGCTGTCAGGATGAAGCACTGCCTCCACAAAACAGGCTTAGCGCATTTTGCCTGATTTGCCTTCACACCAACAGCCCCGGGTGAACATTTTTGGCTATTAATCTTACTGTAGTTCTTCCTCAATTCTTTGTTCTCATTATTGTTTGCGTACATTCAA